ATTATTCTTAAGTTCAGCAATTAATCCATTCATATACGGTTTGATGAATTCCAATTTTAGACGAGCATTTTTCAAAATGTTGAACTTGAAAGTAGAAAACATCTGAGATTCCCTTTTCACCAAACGCGTATATTAATTTTCTGGACTAAAGTACATGTATTGTGTAGAGCTGTAGATTACACAGAGGTACACTTAGTTTAGTATTATGACATCTCTTTCTAATATCACAACTTGCTTCAGAAGACTGGGCAATAAGGTTGATATTGATATTATCAATGAAAACATGAAGATGATTTCTTATGAAAAGGACTACTTCGCGTCACCGTCAGGTTCACACTATGAAGCTGGATATGATTAAATGTCCATGCTCATAAATTTAACAGTTTTAACATGTCCGTTCTTTTTGTGATATGAAAGATTGCATTATCTACACAAATGTAATATGTAAGTCTGAGGAAAATCACATTGTTGTCTTTAAGCTAGGATAAACAGCTGTTATGTACCAGCAACAATGCCACTTAATCTGATTATCTTTGTTTATTATAAGCAATACACTTACTGAAATATCAGTGTATGTGTTTTATGCTGGGTCCCTTTAATAGTAGCCCACAGTACTGGGAAATTGTATGGGTTGTCATCATCGAAAATCTGTCAAAATATTCCTGTGTGTTGGATAACAGTGGGGGAATGGGGGGGGGGGTGCTTTCATGTGAAACTGGATGAATTTGTCCTATTATAATGTGTATTAAAGTAAAAAAAGGAAACGATGGAGACGAACAACAACCCATTTCTTCAGCAATCAAAATTTGCATCGAGAACTTTTTTTTGGTTTCTCTTGTGTTTGATCTCTCATACAAGTGGACTATAGAAATAGTTTAATTCTAGGATTTAAATACCTGAAATACACTCAGCTATATATAAAAATACTAAAGAATAAGGAAATCTAGTGGAAATTTTCATTGTTGACGTAATGAACCGGTCACGTGAATATTTTAATATTTAAAAATGAGAATAATTAAATCCGATTCCCCCTTTTTGTCGTGAAATGCACGCCAGACGATTTCATGTTAAATCGCAGCGTGCTTTCCCAACTCTGTGAAGTTAAGTGTGCTCTTCCCCTGGCAATATTTATGAATATAAAGCAAAATACGATGCATATTCTAAGCAGAAAGCCTACTCAAAAGATCGGCGCCATGTTGAAATTTTGACGCCCATGTCCCAATGTTGTTGCCCAGTACAGTGGACGTGCACATATATTACCATCAAGTAACCAGTAATAAACTGATGTTAATGGGTAGTTTAATGTTGTGTTATAATAATAATAATAATAATAATAATAATAATAATAATAATAATAATAAACTTTATCTAAAGAGGGTGAAACATCTTAAGTGCATACACGTATCTTACACATGGCCCTCTGGTTGTGTTAATGAATAAAAGATGAATAAATTAATGAAATTAAAATAATAAAGTAAAAATGGAATCGAGTTTAAAGTAACAATACTAATAAGAATAAAGCAAAAAGCATTAAAAATCTTAAAGCCACATGACTTAATAACTGTATACATAACATTTACTTTTTTTAACAATTTTTTATAGTATTCAAGTCTTTGGAGTTTTTAATTTCAGAGATAAGGCAGTTCCATATTGGGCCTTTAGTACGTCTTTATGTCTGCCATCTCGCAAATAGATATTTCCCTTGTTACCTATCGGGTGATTCTGCCTGTAGTGTCTACGGTTGCAATTCCATGTAAGTCCCTGATGTATTTTGGTGAGAGTCCATGCATCGATTTAAAAACTAATCTTTTCATAAATTGTATGCCATTTTAGTTTCTTGAATAGTTCAATTGATGGATATTCCTTGGCTTCTTTTTCTGGGATATCGAGAATGATTCTTGCATTACGTTTTTGAAGTTTGTATATGTTTTCTAGTTGTGCACAGCTGTTCCATATAATGGAACAGTAATCCAGATGCGGTAGTATACGTGCATTATAAAATAGCTTTCTTGTTTTTTGTTATTTGTCTTAACTGCTTTTTTTATGACAAATTTTGTACAATTTTCACAATATACAGGTATTTCATTCTAATACTTTGATTTAATTTTGATGAACACGCCAAAATATTTTGAAGAAGCTTTTACATGCTGCTGTTCATTTCCTTCTTAATGCTATACCTTGTTAAGATATATATATGTATTATCCCTTGTAATGCTATTGTCAATATCCATGCGTCATTGTCATAGATGCCTCCGAAGTGGTCAGTCCATTGCTCAACTCAGCTCTTGCTCGAAGATTAACTAAAACAGGTTCCCCATGTGCGGTTATATCACTTTTGAGAAGATAATTAACTGAATATTTTGACATAAACAAGAACAAGCTGTGTTTACCACTTGTTTGTCATCGATCACATGTGAAGAACCAGCATGTGTTTGTTGGATTATTTTAGGGAATCAATTTCATCATGAAAGACGAAAAACAGGTGTCTACCTGAACAGTTTCAAACAGTTGTTATCAGGTTTGGTCTTCACACTGATCGATAAAATAGTATTATAGAATTGGTTTAAACAATGGCTGAGGAAGGTAGTTAAATGGATAACAACTGTTTATTTTGGTTAAAAAAATGGTTAATGAATCCATTTCTTCATTCAAAGTTAGTCCTTGTTTTTTTCTAAAAAGACTTTTTTTTGTAATAATCTTTTAAGAGATTATTGCAGAGTATAGCCATCTATGGATGACACGTGGTCCAATGACAAACACGCACAGATTTCAGAATAATTACCATAACTGCCATTTTTGGGGTAGAATATTTTATATTCGTATGAGTTTACAATGTATTTATCGTGAAACAGGTCTCGCCCGAAGAGTTGTTATCCCTTTTAAGATTTAAATTTTTAAAAATGTAACACGGCATTTCGTTGTAAATTTTGCCTATCAGCAGATGCTTTAAACTCGTTGACATTAATATGAAGATTTGGAGTATACAAAATGAAGCATGATGGTCGTGGTCCATGTTTCTATAAAAACTGAATAACTGGATCGATATTTAGATAGTGGCTATTCTTAACTCCTGCTGTATCGCAACATAAGTGCTATCGAATTATGGCGGATCACCACATGCGAGCTTACCTGCCAATATACTCTGACGTCACGCGGGCTTGTTTCTCTAAAAAGCACCGGAAATGTTTTGGTTTGATGGTATGGATATGGCTAAAAATAATGGGTTATAATGTGGTCACGGTAACCACAGTATATTTGGTTACACTTTTTAAAATTTTGAATTTACTGATCATACTAAAAATCTTAATACAAGGTTCTATGGTGAGTTTCGAATTAAAAATAAAAGTTACTGGAGACTGTAAAAATTTTTACTAAAACAATAAATAATTTCAATTATTTAATGTTAAAACAGGAATAATCATTGTATAAATTTCTTATTGGACGGCTCCTGTATTGTTGCCTTAACTTTAAACCAATCGTTGAAACTCTCGACCTAGAGTCTTTCTGCTAAATACAAATCTCACTATATCACTATGTACATCACACTGGCTGGTGCCTGCACACATCATTTAAGGTGTCAGATACAGTGAGGCTAATACTGGCCCCGGTCTATTACAAACCCAAAGTCTCACTTTTTTTGTTGTTGTTTTTGCTGTTTAGTGGATATATATTTATTTTATTTTCGCTTGTGGCTCGTTTCAGGACACGATTTTTAGATGTGTCTACGATTTGTGTCTTTTCCAATTATAGATCAGGATAAAAAAGATTTGCATCGGCCAAGAATCGAACATGGTTTCATTAAACGTGGAAATAACGTTACATTCTGAAGTTAGAGATTAAAAAGAAAAAAATGGAAACAGGGTAAACGTGAAGCAATACATTCACCCCTTTTAAAGTCATTTTTTTCCGTGACTTACATCTCGTCCATAAGCAGCTCACGTTGATCTGGAAAAGACTTGCACAGAAACTAAACAGTTCTCAGTATTGACCTTTATTGGAGACCCTGGGTTTCATGCCAGCGGGCTACAAATGACAAACCTACTTGGTTTTAAACCACGGCTAGCACGTAGAACAAAAGACTCGGCCGTGCTGTATTCGACATACAAGCACGTCATGTACGAGTGCGTTCCACGTTCTGTTGCACTCCCGTTCCTCACTAGTGTAGTAGCCATTCAGAGCCCGTGGTTTAAGCCAGATACAACACTCATCGCCGAGCTGTACGTGAAAATTACTCGTGTATTGTCTCTCCTGCGGCTCGCCAATACACTCGTAATATTTCACGTACAGCTCGGCGACTCGTATTGTATCTATCACATAATCACTTCACCCCTTAAGGGTTGATATTCAGGGTAATTTCTGTAGAATGACTATCCAGTTTTCTAAAAAAAATACGTGTAACCGTGTGAACATATTTAAGAGCGGTCGTTCCTACCGGAAAAAGAACCTAACATTTGTCAATATAAATCCCGGGAAATGTTGTCATATTTACTGAAGGTGCATAGGGAAAAAGGAAAGGCAATTGTTGGCGCTTTTTTGATAAATGGAGGAAACGTGCTTTTTGTCTGTGACTCTGTTGATTTTGAGAGAGAGAGAGAGAGAGAGAGAGAGAGAGAGAGAGAGAGAGAGAAAATTTGTCTAACGTTAGATCGTGGTGAAGATATGGTTTTTTAACTGCTATGAAATTTCCATAAATGATGTCCTTATTGAATGACCAGTTGAAAAATATGTTTTAGGTAACAAAATTATGCAAATAATAAAGAAATTGTAAAAAAATTACCAAAAAAGTCAAATTCAGTTTGCTTTTTTTTGGTTTGTTGGTCAGTTTGGTTTTTCAACTCTAAGCGAACTCATTTCCCCGTCTTCAAATTTACATAACTTAATTATAATATTATAACCAAGAATCTGGAATGATGATTCAAGGACAAGGCATCTCGCCTGTTTTTAAATAATGGAAAAAACACAGGTTTTATATTTCAAATAAACAGGAACAAACAAACATACAAAACATGAGCATCTTAGGATTTATAACTCCCTGTTTATTGCAGGTAATATTGGATTTTAATGATACTGCCCCAGCGACAGAATTCTGTCTTCCATTATGTTTAATCTTAAAATTAATGACTTATTCATTGTTAATCTTTTTAATATCATGTTCATTTCTTTGACTGCCAATCAGTAATTAAACAAGACTCTCCTGTCCTGGCCACGGGGGCCTGACATATCTCCTGCCACCACTGTAGAGTGACCATTTCTAACACATTAGTGAACTCTCAGGCTGTTGGGCACTGCTCTCGGTTCATGTTCTCTATTCACTTTTCTGCAATTCATTTTTGATTTAAAAAAATCCCACTCAATGTTCAAAGTCTATTTGGCGTCATATTTCCAAAGTTTTCCTTGATAATGCCTTGTGCCATTTTCCGTCGACCTAAAAAAAACAGAACAATAATAAATTCTTCAAAATCCAAACAACATGAATTAATCTGACAAGCACATCACATTAACTAGATTATCAAACAAACAACACAAAAAAAAGTTCACAGCAGCACCCAAAATCCACCCAAAGCTGCACGAATTAAGTAAAAATCCTCCACTTAATTGCTCAAATCTTTGTCTATTAGCGGATTAGACAGCAAGCTTTGTGGTGGGTCACCCAAATTTTATCCTAAAAGTAGTTAGTCCCTTATTCTCAGTGGGACCGTACTGCTTCATTGTGATGCTAATACATATGCCTAGAGAAGGAACTAGGTCTGGCAGCTAAGAATGGAAACATCTGAATATCTCACCACTTTATTTCTTAAATATCCTTTTCAAGACAAGGAAAAAAAAACGTCTTCATCAAAATTTCATTCAACTCACCCTCTAGCAGATCTAGATATAGGCGCAGATAGAAGACCTGAGCCGGCAGCGGCATGCCCATTACTTGTGTGCTCTGAAATAGAGAAAGTTGGAGCATCAGAAGTGCCATTCTCCAATCAAGAGGTCGGTAACAATTAGTGTTAAACTTAGTTTTTTTTTCATGTCTTTTGAAAAATGGCCAGAATTTTCAATTCATACTGCAAAGTGTGACTGGACTACTGTTGGACTGATGTGTGTGTGTGTGTGTGTGTGTGTGTGTGTGTGTGCGCGTGGTAGATTGAGCCGAAGGAAAATTTGTGTGTAACCTTTGAGTTAGAAGGTGATTAACATTTCTTTCTTTTCACATACCACCAACCACCAAATTATCAGAGACCCAGTTAAGAAGTGGGTTTTACTGGATGTGGAGAAACAAAAATATTAAAACTTGTTGCTATGTTTGGAAGGCATGATGTATTACAAAATTGACCTTTGGCAAATGGTAAATAAAACAAAAGAAAAAAAGTACTACAAAAAGGAGACCTCATTACAAAACTCATAGGTCATATGAATGTTATTGTTAATTTGTAATTTTATATTGTGCTTAAAAAATTGCTTAATATACCTTATTTTCAAGATAACAAATAACCATGTGTTTGTGACACCATGATGATTGCAGAGCCATGAAAGTTCCCAGTATTTGTAAGTTCCCAGTGTAAAGTGCTGAAGACAGTCCCAGTTGTACTGACTATATACATACCTGCATAAGGTTTAGCATTGCTTTATCAAACTCTCCTCGGACAGCATGCGCTACGGCCACGTTATACTGCATGATACCTCGCGCTCTGGGCACATCTTTGGGGGACCACAGGTACAGTGAACCTAGGAACAGCCAACATCAAAGAAATCAACTGCAATTTTAGAATTACATGGCTTTAAAAAAGGTAAATAAAACAGCCAATGAAGACAATGATAGAGTCTTGAAATTTATATTCCACCCAAAAATGTAAGTTTTGGATGCTCAATGTAACAAGCTTTCATCATCTGATAACATTAACATAGAAAGTTATACAATAGTGCTCCACCATAGCAGAGAGTACACTGAGCAGTGGAAAGGTCTCTCTTATTTCATCTCTTCTATAGATCAGGGAATTATATCGGAATGATATCCGATATAATTCCCTGTATAGATAAACATTTGGTGTAAACAGTACAAATGAGGATTTTCTTATCCACCTTCTCCGCTGTAAATTTTACAATAATGATTTCACCCAGATAACTAGTCATTTTCAATGTCTGATTATGTCTACATAAATTGTTTTGCCAGTCCACACAATACTCCAAAAAAAAAAAAAAAAAAAAAAAAGCAATATGAAAGAAACAGTTTGCAAGATGTCCAGTTTGACAACCAAATAAGAAAACCAGGTAGTCAAATGTAAATGTATACTGTAAAGATACCTGTATTTCCCAGTTTTAAACTAGATTTCAAGTGGTTTGTTACCTTTGACATCTGTTCCCTCCCCTGCCTCCTTCTCACTTTTATCTGGAAAATTACAATTAATTTTGATAAGAAGTTTAAAATCAAAGTAAGACTGAAATACAATTCTATGAGAATTTTGAAATCAAAATAATACATCATTCACTGATCTTGCACAGGTTTCATAAAAAACAACAGGCTAATAAAAGTAATTTCTGAAATGGGCCTTTAATTCATAAGCAAACCTCTATCAAGACAAGCCAACCTGCCAATTCCAGCTTTGATTCTGGCGACACCAAGGACACGTCTGTAACACTCTCCATGTCCAAATGTTGAACAGCGTCTGCGATTTTATCCAGTGCCACTTGCGCCTCAGCCATGTACATGTGCCCCAGATACCTGGAAAATATGACATTATTTTAAACTGTCACAGACTAAGTGCAAACAGAGTAAACTAATTACTGGCCAAAAGTCACAGGGTCGCAAAGAAAAGAGAAGAAAATCCACATAATATAATATACAGCCCTGGTACAACAATGTTATACAAGTGAGGATACATTACACTGACTGCTACCGTCAACATTCTGCTTCCAGCCAAAAGAGGGTCATTTCCTCTTACCTGTGAGCTCCTGAAAGGCGTGGCTGCTTGAGTAACTTTTCTGCTGCATGGAGCGCCACCAAGTGGTCAGATAAACACAACGCTACATAGGCCGTATTGGCCAGAATGGAGCACCTGAAATATTTAGAATACACAAATTATTGTCACAACCTTGATAACTAGGGTGTCTTAAATCCTTTAAAACTTTGTTTATAAAAATGGGAATACAGGCCATTTTTGTGTGCACAAACTTGTGACTGATTGTCATAAGGCCATATTTTGAAATACTTACACTGCATAAGTTACATTATAATAAAAAATGACATTAAAATTCAACATCAAGCTGTACTGATAAAGTAATGTTTCTCCATAACAAAGAAATGTTAACCAAAACACAATATAATATTAAGAAAAATGTAAAAGGAAAGTTGAAACAAAAAAGAAAAAAATAAACACAATATCTACCATAACAGAGTATGACAATTAAAGTATATCATAATATCTTTAAAAAAATATTCTGGGACCATTTTTTATCCCTGGAAAGTTTAACCCATTTCCTAGGTGTTAAGCTAGCAGTGAACCCTACCTGAGACTGGCCACTTCTGCTCCTTTCATTGGGTTACCAGGGGGCGCTGGTATCAAAAGACTGTCTTGGAGTTTACTGGTATGGAAAGATACAAATAAAACAATACTTTTAACTGTGACATTTAACTTGTAATAATTTCCTTTTTAATTTTTTTTCTTCGATATATTGAAAGGTTGTATTCCAGTCAAAACTTCACATGGGCATTTCTATCCATTTTGCTAATTTTTTGAAAAATTGATAATCACAATGTATTTGACATTTTTCCTTTATCTGTGCCTGCTGATGCAGTTGCCATTTAGTGTTGGTGGGCATTTCCTTGGGTTTTTAGAAGACAAAGTTCAACAGACAGGGTAAATATCAGAAGAGCACCAATGAATCAATTTTTCTGTGCATCTCTGTTTGTGAATGAGACCTTTGACAATTGCACTTACCCCCCTGCTTCCTCTCTCTTTAAAGCATTAATTAACTCCCCCACATAAACACTAGTTAGTGTATTTGAAAGAGAAAGCTCTGAGCTCTGTTCTCACCTTCCTTCTGCCTGCTCCTCGGTGGGAGAGAGGGTGCTACTGCTGACACGACCTTCAGGCAGGAGATGGAGAGCATTGCGTAGACACAGTGACGCAAACTCCAGAGAAACCATTGGTATTGCTGCAGCATCAGAACTAGAAGAGACAAAAGGAAAACAATGATCACAAATTCTGGGATTGATACAGAATGTTAAACATGCATAAAAAGCAAGTAGGAATGTCAAATTATTACAACTTAACTCAACAAATGTCACAATATAGTGTAAAATAGTAAAACCTAAAGAGATGCCACGGGATATTTTCTGGATGACCCAGTGCACACAGGTGATTTTTTCTGACATGTATATCAATCTGTCCTGCCACAGAAAATCATCAAAATGAATCAAAGAAAATTATTTTAAGACACTGTAAGACTTGAAAACACTCCCACCTGTTTACATTGGACTGTGTTCCCATTCCAAGAATTAGTTTTCTGTGGACTCCACAGTATGTTATATAACTTACCTGTTCACATTGGACTGTGTTCCCATTCCAAGAATTAGTTTTCTGTATACTCCACAGTATGTTATATAACTTACCTGTTTACATTGGACTGTGTTCCCATTCCAAGAATTAGTTTTCTGTGGACTCCACAGTATGTTATATAACTTACCTGTTCACATTGGACTGTGTTCCCATTCCAAGAATTAGTTTTCTGTATTCTCCACAGTATGTTATATAACTTACCTGTTTACATTGGACTGTGTTCCTATTCCAAGAATTAGTTTTCTGTATACTCCACAGTATGTTATATAACTCACCTGTTTACATTGGACTGTGTTCCTATTCCAAGAATTAGTTTTCTGTATTCTCCACAGTATGTTATATAACTCACCTGTTTACATTGGACTGTGTTCCCATTCCAAGAATCAGTTTTCTGTGGACCCCAGAGCCCACGGTGTGTTGTATGACCTGTTGTCTCTTTTCTAGCGAGCAGTCGACGTCATTGCTCTAGAAGTTTAATAAACACAAAGAAGAGTTTACTATGACAGGTATTAATGGTGCAAAGATCAGTGGCAAATCCTGTCACAATGTTTCTAAATTGTAAATGCAAACTTGTTAATACTAGTTCTATACTTAAGAATGTTTATGTTGATTTATTTAAAGAATGAAGTCCAAGGTTACCATAAGTACATAAAAAGCAAATTATTGGTAAAAAATTCAATGTTCCTTGGTGGTTTTAAGTGATATAAGCTGTTTTAGTGTGAAAGCCTGACAACACTGTGGCACACTTTAATAATGATTCAGAATATTGTAATATCCCACAAGCTGAGTATGGTGTGTATTAAACTGAGAGAAAGAAGAAAATCAGCCCTTCATTTAAAAAGTCTAAACAGGACAAAAACTGATTAAGCCATATATTTTTTCTATTTAGTCTTAACATTTAGCACTGAAGTAATGTTTTAAAGCTGGCAAGTAAAGCTTCTTGTACCAACCTCCTTGTTCGCCATGACACAGCACTCCGCCAGCCGTAACCAGAGGCGGGGGTTGGTCTGGTATACCTGTACCACCTCAATCAGACAGTCAAATGCTGCGCTGGGTTTCCCACAGTGCAGTAGCTGGAGCCCCATGTTGTACAGCAGTTCATAGTGCTTGCTCACACTAAGACAGTACAGAGGTTTACCTGATATAGATTTACCTGAAAGTACAGTATATCTTGAATTATATTACAATTAAGTGAGCATAAACTTGCAAAAAAATAATTAATTACATAATAACATATAAACTACAAAATAAACCTGAAATACATCACAAAACTGCCTTCTATAAATAACCTTTTTTTTCTTCACTTTGACAGTTGCACAGGGAAGTTCATAATGTTATTGTACTTTCTTAACCTAAGACAGTGCAGCACCTCAGCTAAGAGAGCATTTCCTAAAAAAGAATACACAATATGTTTCCCATGTTTCCCAGGGATTGTTATATATACATATAGATAAAGATATATATATATATATAACAATCCCTGTGCAATCTATCTGAACTTTATACATTTATTGACTGTGAAATAGGCCATTATTTCTCACACCATCAACTTTCGCCCACCTCCGTCTCCTTTGTTCAACTCCTTGACGGCGGCCTCGTTTTCCTGCATGGCCTTCCTGAAGTAGTACGCGCCCAGGTTGTGAAGACGCAGGTGGAAATGTATACAGCCCAGGTTGTTATAGTACATGACGGGGATACACTCGCCTGTCTCCAGGAAATGGCGGTGCGGAGATGCGCTGTTCATGACCTTGTTGGCCTTCTTGTAGTTGCCTTTTAAGTACTCAAAGTTGCTCTTCAGGTAGACGACTGGGATGGTCTGAAAGCAGAGAGGTGGTGCTGAGGAATAGCAAAACAAGTATGGTAATGCCTCCATCTTCTCAATGGGCAATAATTATCAGATACATCATTTTAAAATCATAAAAATTATATTTTTGTATAGCATTTGCAGTGCTTTTATAAGGTATTCTGTTTTTCAATTTTGTTGCAAAAACTCAATAGGAGGGCTCTTATTTTAAGAAATTGTGACTTAAAAATACAGTATCTGTAAAATTGGCAATTTTCCCCCATTGAAAGCAAACCACACTAAATGTCCCATCTGAGGAATTCTTTAATAAGTCTTAATAATACTCTGATCAATACAGTTGAAAAATGAAATACTGGGATAATGCTAACACTTGCCAATTCAGCCAAATGTTTAATCAATATAGGGTTGATCTGACTTGTTTTAGTCAAATTTTTATATTTTCATATTTCAAAAAAAAAAGTAGTGAAAAGTTGTTATTTGGCAAAGTGAAAAAAATTGCTAGCCCTACCCCAGAGATAATATGTCAGCCAACACATTAACCAATTAATCACAGTAAAAACCAATGAAACATTCAAATTACCAGTCTTAGATTAGACATCATCAAAAATACTCCAGACTGTGAAAAAAAGAAAGCACTCTGTGAATTTTGGCACAGATTTGAGCTGGGTTGATATACTTTCTCAAGTTGTCATCCAATTATAAATTCATTCTGCAAAATCAAATCCAAGTCCTTACCATTCCCATCATATTCATAAGATTCTTGACTTCTCGCTTGCAAAACTTCATAGACTTGAGCATCATGTAGCACCGCACCTTGTACTAAAAGAGCACACAATGTCTACTGAACAAAGACATTATTTCTTGGCAAGGTTAAAGGGATGACAACTCTTCATAAGAGATCTATATTTCACAATAAATACATTGGAAACAACTCATAGAAATATAATATATTGTTTTACCACAAAACAGCAGTTATAGCAATTATTCTGAAATCTGTGCTTGTCATCGGCCCACATGACCTTCATGTTATAATCTAAGAGAGTAAAAAAACCAAGGTCTAATGTTGAAGTGTGTCGGCCATATTTAACTCGCGGACTAGTTAGTTGACTGTTCTGTATGCCACCAAACGTGTGTCTGATTTCGTCTTACAGTGCTATTTCAGATCACAAACAATCTTACATGGTCTTAAACCATGAGTAACTTAAAGACCATTATTGGACTGAATTGTTATGCAATTGTCTCTTCTCACATTTGGGAGGAAATTGCTTGACCACTTAAGTTGATGTCAGATCATTTTCGCTCTTAAAAAAAAAGACTATTTTAAAACTACTGCTGTAATGATTAAGACCGTGTAAGATCATTTGGGATCTCAAATTGCACCAAACCGAGGCAAACAGCAGCGAGAGAGAACAGCAGCGAGTTTACACTTACCTGACTTATTTTAGGTTTGTAGAGTTCAGCAATGGAGTCTGGGCTGCCTTCCTTGCTGCCGTCGCCCCTGTCTCCCTGTTTCTCTGGCGTGCTCTGACCTCCCTTGCCATTCAGCATGTGCTTCTCAAAGTAAGTCAACATGGCCATGGCTTTCTCAGGCTGAACAGAAAAAATATCTCCACATGACTCTGATCATAAAAGTCATTAGCTGCATGCAAGCATAGCTTATTGTAATGAAAAGCATTGATATAATGTGTGTAAAATAAAATGCAAGGTTTGGTATTAAATATGTTTTCTGCATAAACTAAACAAAACACTCACAGTCAGGCTTAAAAACTGATCTTACTCAATATCTGGCTTAGAAAATTATGTGAAACTGTTAAATATGGACACTTTTTAATTTAAGTATATTGTGAGAGTTTCCACTATGCAGTTCAATAGTGTTCACAGTTCAGTCATTACAAGTCATATTTACTTTTGAAACAATTCGATAAAGAAAAGGGTAAAATGCCTTTTGGTAATTCTCTTAGTTATACTACTTGAAACGTAGGTTTTTGTGGCAAAAAATTGACTTTGCATGCATCTTTAAATGAAAAAGGAAACAGATTTATGTCTTTGGCATTTTTTGCAATTTTTGAAGCAATCAATATTAACTGCATGTGAGCACAGCTAATCGAAATGAAAATCCTTCATAGATGTGTAAAATAAATGCAATTTTAATAAAAAATATGTATACTTCACAAACTTAATAAAACATAATTATCACTGTGACAGGTATTAAAATCTGCGATGTGTCATTTCTTGTAAATTCTAAAGCAATTAATTATTATATATTTTTACAATCTATCTATCAAGATTACCTGATGTGTCACTAAATACAGCTCAACCAGAAACAAGAGAACCCTTTTGGCCAAGTTTTCCTCTGCAGAGACCAGAAATATAAAACAGTTATTTTTAAAAGCAACAAAATAATGAAACAGAATAAAACAAGGATGTCATTTGATATGGGCACAGACTGACAACAAATACCAGAAAAAACTGAATCTGAAAATATTTTACTCATGTACAAAGTAACCAGATTATCAATACATAATATGCATAGAAAGTAGATAATATCCAAGGTGAAATTCACCAAAACCTTACTGGTGTTTTTACTTGCTTCTCACTATATCTTTCTAGTGCTTCTTTTGGCCAACAGTTCTAGTACCCAGATCAATCCGACCCAGGCCTTATAAAAGGATTATATAATAGGCATTTACTAACACTACCCGCAAATCTTTTAGTACTAACACCCATATTAACCACAAAACTCATAAATTAACCAGCACACCATACAATTATTTAGCACCAACAAAGCGATACCTAGCACTAACATTCATTTGCTCTGGTAGTGCTGGTTGATTCGTGGGTTATGTGAATAATATGGGTGTCAGTGCTTAAAGATCTATGGGTAATGTAAGTAAACGCCTTTAGAATCTGTTTATCAGGCCTGTGACTCACGTCTTGACTCCTGTTCCCCCAGCGGCTCAATGAACTGGAACAGTTTATCCATGATGGCGAGGGCGGCCTGGTACTGTTTGAGATGGTAGAGGAGAACAGCCTGGTTAAAGTACATAACACACTGGTCCACGTCATCCAGTGCCTCCACACTGTCTATGTTCACCTGGGACTGGGAATGAGGGGAAATCAACTGTGTTATCTCAGCCAACAATATATTATCAATGTCATAGACTGGGTTCCCATACTTAGTTTGAACTAACAGGATCGGCCCATCTCCAAGGGGTTTCTCACTAAATTGCTTTCAGCTTAAGCGGCTTAGATATCTCACACATCTGCGTAAGTCGCTAAACAATAGCTCATTACCCACTAGCAGCTTCAATAGGCATGACATACATCTAAGCCACTCAAGTTTATTGCAATTTAGCAAGAGTCCCCTCGGAGATAGGTCAATCCAGTTAGTACGATAAGGTCTGGGAATAGTCTCATACTGTCAACTGTCATGTCAGCCAACACAATATAATCATGGTCATGTGCTATATTGTATCTCAGTTATCAACTGAAGAAAATGAAATGTCTTATCACATACTAACACAAAGCTTAGTCTATTCTTTGTTTCAGCCTAATAGTTGGGTAAAAGTTACTTTGGTTTATACTTTGTTTTTGTGATATAGTAATACAGATCAAAATACTGAACAAAACCCAAGAGATATTTGGTATGAAAGAATTTTTTTATAAACTCATTATACAGAACATTGCCCATTAACTATTTTGACTGTGTGAACTTCACGGATACTGGTCACTTAAATTAGTGGGACTGTCCAACATAATCTGGGACACATGGCAGGGGCGGATTGAAGCCATTTTCTGGGTCTGCCAGAAGACGGTCAGAGGTCAGATTTACAAGTTTACACTGACAGGTATCTAATTTTTCCTATCAGCAGACAGTCAAAAATGGAAGATTGATCAACAAAGCTAATTTGGAAGACTGTCAGAAAATATCTCTGGATCCACCCCTGCATGATATGTCTCACTACAGCTATCACAAAATGCTGCATACAATACCTGTTGGCAGACATTCTGCAAACTCTGCTTAAACTCATCAGTCTTTTTAAACCCCGACTGATAGTACGCCCCTACTGCCATGTTGTGGGCAATTTTGGGGTCATTTGGCCTGGACGAGTTCAGTTTTCCCAATAGGTGGAGACACTGTTCATAGTTTCCTTTCTCAAACTCCTGCGTGGCCTGCAGTGCTGTGGACTTCTGTTGTTCCGTGACGGCGGGCAGGGAGGGTACGGGGCTCTCACAGGGGGTGTCCTGCTGGGACTGCTCTTCTACTTTAGCATCAGACATGATTAGTGCTCAGCCCTAAAAGAGGAAAAATATATAAATAAATCATTTATGTATATTGCATGTAGTGGACAGTTGAGGATATTATTTTCTACATGACGTGTCTAGTTGCAACAAATATATCTAAGTTGAACATATCATAGTGAAATATGAAATTCTAGTTATGATCTTAGGAATATAAAAGATTTCAACAAAATTAAGACAACTCTTTTGAGTTTTGAACAAATGCAGCACTATACTACACAATAATTAGAAAGAACATTATCCATTTTCTTTAGTATGAAAATGTGACGTTTTAAATACACTATTACAAATAATTTAAAACAATATAAATGATGTTTTAACCACTACAACTCTCAACAGGAAAAATCACACATTCATTTCCTCAAACACCTCATGCTTTTCATATTTTTACAGCATAAAAACTCTGTCCAAACATAATGAAAATGTATAATGGGCAAGCCGCAATTTAAATAAACCTCAGTGCAGTAAATATCAATGACATACTGTAATAAGTTGAAGTCTCAACGACAAAGTTGAAGCAAGTTTTGTAAGCACCGTCGACTTAAGAATCAACTGATTATGATATCCAGTCTCTTGTCTGACAAAACTTACATTTCACTTTACAATTTCATTTTCAGCTGATATTACTGGTGTCTACATACTCAACAAAAACATCTTTATTTAACTTACCTTACCGCCACAATGTCCCCGTTGTGCTTCCGGAAGTCAATTGACACAATACGCATGCGCACGATGCATTTGTTTACTTCCGGTTCTTGGCACTACTCGAGATGAGGGGAATAAAATGATGTGGTTTTCCAGATTTCAGGTTTGTTCAGTATTCAGGAATTGTTAAATTCAACATTAAGATGATTGAAATAACAAGCTTTGCTGGCAGTCACATGCAGGGGTCTGAAAACAGTTTGCTAGAGGTCAAATGATTCGAAGTCATTGTAATCGGTTACAATGCCGATTATAAATATACATCAATATCCTACAATTTTTCTAATAAAAACTCATGAAGTATAGATAATTTAATGTGTTTTTTTCTGAAATTACCTTAACTACCAGTTTCAAACACATTAAAAAAGATTTTGTTGTTCAAATCTTTTTACATTTCAAGATATGTGCATATTCATAAATGTCTTTAAAAATTAAAATATTTTCAGTTGCATTTACCAAGGAGTTATATTGCATTTACATAGAAGATGAGTTCGGATGACTTTGAAGTAAATGAGGTGGACTCCATAGAAAATGTTATTGGTCTTACACCAGGAGACCCTTTAGATGGTTTTGTGGGTAGGTATATATAACAAACCATGGTGGTATATATACCCAGTATGTGGGATAGAAAAAAAATGTACTAATAAAACTGGCTTTTTTTCTGATAACTGTTCAGAAGTGGGATGAAGGCCATAGGTTTGCAGTGAAATAAAAGGAAAAAAATAACTGGCCATTGGCTGATGTTCTACTCAGCAGCTCTACATCCTGTGTGACTATTTTGCCATAAGAAAAAAGCATTTGCAGACGACAGGTGGTTATATATATATATATATATATATTATTATAGCCATAGGAAGATGATAAATGATAATGATAAAAATTTTGTGTATTTAAGAAAATTTAAAGAAAGTAGAACCTTGCATCATGCATCTTCGATATACTTAGGCTTTATAAAACATTCAACATTACCATGTTTTCTGTGTAGGAAATTTCTAGAGTAATTTGAAAAAAATTCTTTCATCACTGTTAGGTCATGCCCTTAACAAACTTAGAGGCCTATTCAGTATTGTTATTAGTTCTCTGTTCATAAGGCCTTTTGATATTGCAAGAAATGGAGTCACCCTCAAACCATTGCATTTCATCCAACATATACTATTACATTGTGTGCTTTTCCATAGCAGCTGTGAAAATGGAGGCATTGAGAATTCAATGTACTATACTAGCTATCACAAAGTCTTCTGATATCTTGCATCTGGAAGATCACATTATCTTCAAATTGTTTCAGAGATCTGGTACCAAGTGTTCCTGTGGGCTCTGTTTTCATCCATCTTTGTACATCTGATAGGAGCAGCAATAGCATTTGGACGGCTCAGAAAACACAAGCTGGGACGCTTCACTCCTGCCCTGATCTTGTTGATGGGTGTGCTAGGGCCACTGACGGGAGGAGTGATCACAAGTGAATTTGATTTTAAAATCATTGTTATAGTTGTGCATTAGGAAGAGGCCTTATTTAAACAGATTAGGCATTTACTAACACTACCCGCAGATCTTTTAGCACTAACGCCCATATTAACTACCAAACCCACAAATTAACCAGCACTCCCTGAAATTATTTAGCACCAACAAAGTGATACCTAGCACTAACTTTCATCTGCTCTGGTAGTGCTGGTTAATTTGTGGGTTACTAATATGTACTTAATATGGGTGTTAGTGCTAAAAGATTTGTGGGTAGTGTTTGTTAACGCCTACTCCGTTTATAAGGCTTGTGGAAAGAACTTTAAATGTGGGTGATGCTTCTGTATCTGAAAAGCAAGTATGGTGAAAACAATTAAAAATTTGGCTCATTATTTAACAATATGCAACAATAAAACCAAAAATATTCTGAATCCAACATCACCTAGGTGACAAAACCAACTGATTATATAGCAATGATGTTATATTTGAAAATAACTTTCTAAATATCTGTTTGTAAATTGTTATTGTAGTTTAAATACATAAAGTAAGGTCATTGTCGCTGTGAAAAATGTACTTGTACCAGTATAAAAAGTTTTTTTAAATGTATAACAATATGTATATATTGTCCATTAGCTTGGTAGTTGGATCACAAATAAATTAATCAAACACAAGTCGAAAATCTTTCATACCGTTAGCTTACATTTATAACATCTATAAGACATTTACAAGAAGGTCCTGGCCGCTTAACCACCTAGCGGTCAGCAAGTGTCAACATCAGCTCACATCATCACACCAGGCTGGCCGTAAGCTAACAGCATGAAAGATTTTTTCGGCTCGTGTTAGATAATTTTCATTTACATGTATATGCAATGAGTAATGACCTGTTTTATTTATATAGGTGCAGCAGTAGCAGGTGTCTACAGGACATCAGGATTTGAAATGAAGCCGTTGTATGCTTTGGTGTGGGGTGTGGCACAGACAGTGATCGTCATTTTCATCTCATTTACTAGGATATTGGCAACTCTGTGATGCTGAAGACTGACTGTCATCTTGTGAATTTAAAGAGGATATTACAGTCATAGATTCATGAAGCTTTTGGGCTATATGCTGTTATTCAAGCAATAGAGAAAAGAAATTAGAAATGAATATTTATAAACTGTGTCATCATGGAAATCTGACATTTATTTGATGTGTGTTCCTTTAAAGAGTGGGCATGTCAAAGTAAATGTAAACTAATGCATGGAGTAATGGTATTTACCAATAACAGATTTGATGGGCAAATTGTTCCTGCTCTCAAAGCATAATTGTGTTACATATAATGGATTCGTACCATCACATACTCCATGTTTTCATGACAGTTGTTATTGCTTCTGTGATCTATTTATATTTGGAGGCCAGTCAAAAACTAACAGAATTAGAAAATGCATTATCAGAGAAGAATAGAAGTATTGAACATGGTGTCAGAGAGGCAGTATCAACCGAGGAACGTCAGAACTATGTGGACACACTGCTTCTGGAGGGGTCCTCAGTTTGGTGTGTTGGGGGCACCCACACTGAGAGACTGTGTCATTTTAAAAATCTCTGCTATTCTCCGCATCATGAACGCTTTGTTTTCTTTCACAGCAAGCACTCTTTGATAGATGGCGCCACCCAAGAAGGGCCAGCTCTCCTTGATATGTCAGCTGTGGAGGATCATAACACTCAGTATTTTAACTATGATGACTTCCCTGTAGCTGCAGCTGGTCAGTTTAATATCTCTGTGATTGAAGAGCACTGTCTGATAATGAATCGCTTTAAACCCGACAATTTGATGCACATCTTTCACGATGATCTTCTCCCGCTGTATCACACACTGAGAACCATCTCTCATTTCAACATGGCTGCCATGGAACGTATCCGTTTGGTGTTCATGGAAGGGAGAGACGCAGGAGAGTTCCAGTATATCTACGATAAAATTACCAACCACAAACCGTTATTGAAAATGGATTTTCAGAATTCACTGCAGGACAACTTGGTGTGTTTTCAGGCAGCAACAGTTGGTATTTCAAAGCAGACGACGTGGTACCAATATGGCTTCAAGGAACCCCAGGGCCCCTTACCTCATGTTGAAATAAATGCTTTAGAAATCACACAGTTTACAGCTTTTATGAAAAGGAGGCTTGGAATAAGTGATGGACCACTAAGTGAAAAAATAATTGAAAAACAAACATATGGGGCTGATTCTGACAAAACATCGAGCGAGGAGCAGTATATCAAACAGAGTGATCAACAAAACATTATAGTGATATTCTCAAGAAAACAAAACCGTCTCATTCTCAATGAGGTAGAGCTTTCTTTAAGCCTAGCTGAAAAGTTTAACATGCAAGTTATCAGTGTCAGCATGGAGACACACACCCTTTCAGAAATGATTGTAGTAGTATCTCGTGCAAAAATTGCTGTTGGAATCCACGGTTCTCTATTGATTTTATCCATGTTTTTACCTCCACAATCTGTGCTTGTGGAGTTATTTCCGTTTGCCATAAATCCAGATAATTACACTCCATATAAAACTCTAGCTAATCTCAAAGGCATGAAAATTACATACAAAGCGTGGAGGAATACTTATATCAACAATACTGTAACACACCCTGACTATCCGGAGGATTTGGGAGGTATTTGGCATTTAAGCAAGGAAAAACAGCAAGAAATTTTGACAAGTTCTGAGGTAGCCCCACACCTATGCTGTTCTGATCCTGAGTGGCTTTTCAGAATTTACCAAGACACTGTTGTTGATGTCCCTGTGATTGTAGAATTAATTAAAACTTCTTTGGAAGCACATGGTGCAGTAGAAAATATTGATGACTTGAATGAAGACAGAATCCTACCTGCTCAGGTGGAAAAATTAGCATGCTTGCCATTTGAAGAATCAACCAATGGCAAGGCTGGATTGTGGTTGTCATGGCAACCACCTTGGAATATACAATTTTTCGACCCAAGAGAAATTGAATATGAAGTGTGGATCCAAGAAAAAGGTAGCGAGGACTACGCTGCTTATAAGATGAAAAAAAGGAGTCATCAGTTTCGTGATAAAATCAAACCTCAAACGATGTACTACATTTGGGTGAGGTGTATTTTTGACCATACTAAAGTTGGCCCAATGAATTCTGCTGTTGTATCATGTCAGACCACAGGTTAAAAAATAGACAAGAGGTGGACATGGTCAGTGGGAGAAGATACAAACTTGTTTATTATGATCTAAATCTCAGAAAATTACTGGTCAGGAGTTATCTTTGATCTAAGAATTTTTTTTGTTTTCTTTTGTTCATTCGGGGATATGTAGTTATGTCAAGTAATTACATAAAGACTGTCACTCTTAAGATTCATAACAAATGAACAAAAATAATAATTTATTATTACGTTTATTTCTGACTTTAAAAAATTACGCATATATGGTTTCATATAATTTTGAATATGTTAAAATAAAGACCATTTTCATAATACCCATATTTTCTTCCTTTTTTGGAACAACAGAATAGTGAATTTTACTGTATTTCACATACCTCTAAAGAAGGGAAATATTTAAAAAATTACATCATTTTACAGAAAATAATGTGGATTTATCATTAACAGCAGTAGAAAAATAAAATAATGAAATTGGAAAATTTAATATTTCATGACATTCTTTGAAATCTGTATGTTTGAGTGTTACATCATGTGAAATCTATTGCAATTTCAGAATTTGCAATTTTTGGCAAATTTAAAAGTTACTTATATTTCATTTCTCATCAACAAATGATTCAAATACGTTAGGCAGTAAACAACACATACGGATGTTACATCTTATGAAATGTATATTATTTTTTATACTTTTATTTTTTGCTCAATTTAAAATATTTTTGTTTTACAGGTTTTTTTCTTTTTTCATTTTAAACAAAGAAATCAAGTTATCAAATTGTATTTTAATTAAATAATTTCATTAATTAATTTCATGGTAACTTTCTCCTGGTCTGAAATTCTAAACATGTCTAACAAAAGTCCGCTGACATGTATACTTGAGAAATGATCTTATCTTAATAGTAAATAGTTATCTTAAAGCACTGTATGTGTATATCTCATCAGCTTCCAAAGAAAAAAGAAATGATTATATCTATATGCGCTATGGATTAGTATCTAAAATAGTAAATCAATAATCAAAAGTATAAAAATCATTAAGTGACACTGGAAAATATTGCACGCTTAAGCCATCACAGAATTTACATTTTTTTAGCCTAAACACTTTGCATATATTTAATTTTACTGGAAAAGTCAAAGCCTACAAATATTACTGGATCAAGTATAAGTAGTCTTCAAATTTCCTCTGACCTCACATGGAATCCTTATCCCTTAACAGACTTTGCTAAATGATGTTTTGGAATCTGAAGATCTTCCTGTTAATAATTATCCAAAATAAACATCTGCAATATACAAAGCATATTTGGCCTGTAATGTTATAGATGAAAACTGCTGTATAGAAGTTTGAGTCTCTCTCTCTCTCTCTCTCTCTCTCTCTCTCTCTCACACACACACACACACTACTACAATATATAGCTACATAAAAGATAATATATATCACAACTACTGGTATATTGACAAATTTCCACATATAAAATTTACATTCTCAGTTATCATTGTTATAAATGATATTAACTTGATCATACTATGTTGTATATAATGATATATTGTGACAGGTTTCTGATCTATGAAAAGATGTGATGAGGTATTAATTCAATAGTGTTAGGGACCATTCCCAGACCCTATTGTACTAACTTTGGATCGATCTACCTCCAAGGGGATTCTTGCTAAGTTGCTATCAACTCAAGCAGCTTAGATGTCTGCCAGGCCTACTGAAGCTGCTAGGGGGTAATTAATTATTACTTAGCAGCTTCAGTAAGCATACCAGACATCTAAGCCGCTTAAGCTGAAAGCAATTTAGCAAGAAACCCCTTGGAGATGGATCGATCATGTTAGATCAAACTAGGCATGCAAACCCAGTCATATTGCGATCCTAACCTAGCAATCCCTGCCAGAGATCCAGGGATGTGGCTCCATTGTATCCTTCAGTGTATACGAACCTTTCTCCTTTAAAATAGGATGATCTGCGTGGATTTTCTCAATACAAGCACGGTCGAGCACGCAAAACACATGCAGCGCACGCAACTTTGGGCAGCACGAAGATAATCGCAGTAAAGCTTTGTTCAGTTCTGCTGAAGGTCGCGTCTGAAGTACTAGCTTTTCCAAGCTATCATGGTAAAAATCTGTAGCAAGATTGACTTCCTCGTATATACGCGTGAACGTCTCAAGACGTAATACAGAGACTGGAATTTGTGGGTTCATGATCTGGCTTACTTTATGCAACGGACACGTATTGTCAAAAGCCAGAGTAACATGTAAATCCGGAAGCGCCTGCACTACTCTCTTCCACATATCGTCCGATAAATCCCGTCCATATTTCTCCTCCCTCCTGCACTTCATGGAGAGATGTTGTAGCGGGATGCGGTTCCCCTCTGTGAAAGCCTCCAGGATATCCTCAGACATGCTGCTGTAGAAGACCTGAATCTCCTTCAGCTTGCGACAGCGTGTCACTAGACGTAGCACGCACTGTGGTGTGACTTTGCAAACCAATATACTGTTCAGTATATTCAATCTTTCTAGGTTGGGGTGATTCTGTGACAGAACGTCAAATACACTGTCGTCGTAAGCCACTGGCAGTCCGCTGAGGTCCACCTCCAATAACTGATTAGACAGACCCTGGCCATTAGCAACTTGACCAAACAGGTCAGTCAGAGCCTCCTTAAATTCCTGACCGACATAAAACAATGGGTTCTCCCCGGTACATTTAATTCTAATCCGCTGCAGCCTCCTGTGTGGTAACTTTGCAAGGCCTGTTAGCACCTTACACGCATTGTCCCTATTCTCTGCCTCTCCCTGGTCAAGCTCTATGTAGACAGACTTCATAGACTGACCGTACAACTGGACCGACTTGACCAGTCTCTCCTGGGACTTGGTGTAGAAGTAGTAATCGAAGTGCCTCCACAGGTAGGGCAGACTAAAGCAGTGCAGCCAGTCCCTGCAGGTCAAGGCAGCGTTGTAGCGGTCACCCAGAGTCAGACAGGTGAAGATCTTGACCACGACGTGCTCTGGGAGACTGCTCCAGTCCTGACTGGATGCCATGTTGAAAATGGGGTGTGGGGTGTGAGTGGTGGGCGGGACTGGAAGGGGGGGTGTCCTTGGGTTGATGTGTTACCTACACAGTACCTGCTTCCTAACTGGCCTGGAATATATGCAAATGTACTGGTAAAATTTATAGAATGCAAGTGTTCTGAATTTTGACAAGAAACTTGGAGACTTTTTGTCATATTAAAACTGCTGAAGTTAAATTTAATGAAAAATTAAAGTTTTGTGCCCTAAGTAAAGATACTAATGATAACTTTTACATATATATATAATATGAAAATATCTCAATTTCAAGGCATTACCAATAGATCTTTAAATGCGTAAATCAGGTTGCTTACTGAATGTACCATTATAGCGGTTCACAACAAAAAGAAAAGATGATATTACATTATATTTAGCTCTATGCCAGACGATTTCATGGAAAACATTATTAAATCTCTCACATATCAAACAAAAACAAATCACGTCCTGCGACACCTGTACTGTACGTGCTACTACTTAATGTCTTTCGTCTAGTTCTAGCCGCAGACAAGGCATGTACGAAGCAAAGAAGACCCTTGACCAGCTACGCAGATCACTAAATAATCCCGAATGCACAAACAAAATAAACACTGAATCATGAAACAAGCTGGAACACCAAAGTATAAACTTGCTGAATATTTACCAATCGTCCATGAAAGATCTCGAAAATGCTCGATCTTGTTTGTGACTTGCACTAACGATATATCCTGCAACAACAAAGGAACTAATCTTAGTCTGGAGCTTACCTCATCTGTGACTGTTTATCAAATCTTTCCCCCATATATGGTCATTCTGCTCTGCGGTGGCTCAGGTGTTGAATGACAGCTGACTCTGTACCCACAATGCACTGGCACAGGAAGGGAATTCCCCCGTCATGTGACCTATGGGATTCTCTGCTACGCTAAAAATAGACTTGTTTCACCGAGAGAAGAAGCTAAAAGTCGAACTAAAATGAATGAGATACTTTGGCAGTGGCGAATTTAGAAGGGTGGGGGTCGGGGGGTGGGGTGGGGGGGGGGGGTCAGGGGGTCCTGCCCCTTCTCCCTTCGGTTTCTGAAAAATATATCAGACTGTATGGTATTATCAAAGAAGTTGAAGTCGTACAACCAAATGACGTCGCAAACGTCACAACCATGGTTTAATCACGCTCGCATTATGACGTAATGCTGCCAAGGAAAGCGTTGCTAGGCAATTAAACGCCCAAGCAGAATATTGACTTGGTCACGAGGATTTTTTCTCGCGCAAATTTCAGCAATTTTATTTGATATTAGTGGAGTCACCATGACTACCCGAGAGAATTCGTTTAGTGGACACGCGAAGAAGAGGATCAGACACACGACTGATCCTATTCCACACTGGAAAAAGACAAAATGTCTTGAATATTTGGAGGCTGAGGAGGAGCCGCCATGTCAACTTACAAGTCTGCCTCCGGAGCTCATGGAGCAAATTGTTCAGCATCTTGACACCAAGAGCTTTGTTCAATTTTCCCGCACTTGTAAGACATTCCAAGCATTGTGCTGTGATCCATACTTTTGGAAGCGACACGTTGAGGTAAGACCACAAGCTAGCATATAAGTTGAATACATCAATGCATCTATTTGCTAAACAAGGCAAACGTTATTTTAAAACTTGTTTCATGCTTTTGATGATACTTTCAGTTTTCCTCGATTATCGGTGCATTTTTATTTATTTATTTTTATTCAATTAGTTCCAGGGACATTTCATGATGTGTAAGTCAAAACTTTTATTACCTCTTTCAGAACGTGTATGACTTCGGGTTTGGAAAATATCTTATGAAGATCCCAACCCCTGTACTAGCTCCCAAGATGGTGTCATCCCTGCTGTACAAACTGGAGTACATCAAAGGTCTCATCTACGAGAAGGAGTACCAAGGGTTAATGGCGGGAGATCCAGAAGTGATCACGTGTCTGTACGCACCGGATGCTAAAGACCCCTACTGGCAGCGAGGCAAACAGTTCCTTTTCTCCCAAATGTTGAAGCTATTCAACTTTCCGCTGCATTATTTCCAAGGTAAATAATCAGACATTCGTTCGGATCCATGTTGATTTAAGATATTATAACAAATCGAATTTTACTTATAGGCCTATTATTTTGATTAAAAGAAAAAAAACGAAGAAAAAGAAAAGCGTATAAATGCACATCATCAAAACTTTTTGATCTTTTTTATTCTAGATCAAGATGAATCTTCGATAGAAGACATGGACCTCAGCTGGGGTGGTCTACTGGCCCTGCACCGGCAGCGAATGAACCGTCCCGGTTGTGATGTCAAGTTTTACGACTACTACATGGAATGCCTAGCAGATAGTGAGTAGTTTACCTTAATACGAATTCGTTTTGTAAATAAACTGTTGTGGGGATGTGATTTTGACTAATGCCCCTATTTCACACAGATCACGAATCCCACGAATGGCCGTGAATTGACAAATTTCAGAATTCGTGGTTGAATCGTAATCAGTTCGTGAAGTTCTTAACAGATTGGTATATAATCGTGGGCAGTTCTTGCAATTCTTGATCAGTCAGGAATTCGTGGCCAAAATTTTGAGCTGTTCAAAATTTTGGCCACGAACTCCCGATTCCAAAAAAATCGTAGTGAATTTCTGGACAGCCGAATCCCACGAATATTTGTAACACTATCGCACCTGTATCATAACTGAATCGTAAATCTCACGAATTCTCACGAATCCCGAAATTTGTCAATTCCTGGCGATTCGTGGGATTCGTGGTCTGTGTGAAATAGGGGCATAAATAAGAAAGCGTTTTAAGGTTATCGCTATATATCTAGTGATTTCAGGACACGTGAATATTGGTGTGTAAATGCAATGTTTAGAAGAAATGTGTACATTTTTTCCCGTGTCTGCGTATTTTCAGGTGTGGCCTTTTTAACTCAAGCGTATTAAAAAAAAAAGAAAAAAATGAACGTATCTGGGGACGAGTGATCGTCTTTGATAATATCTTCACGGGTGTGGCATGATTAAACGTCACAAAGGGAATAATCAAATTACCAGGCAAACCTTTCTGCCATGAAACCATTTTGAACAGTTTAAAATCGTGTCGGTATCTGAAAGTCGTGGTAAATAAAAAAGAAGAAATGTTGATGACACAAAGGAAGACACCATTGGCCTCAGTAAAATCCCCCAAGTGTTTGTTTTTCGCGGGGAATATTCTGTACTGTGTACCTGAAATACCAATGCGATGTATTATAAAGAATTTGGTATAATTATATCTTAAAAAAGAAAACCTTTGCTGTTACAGATTACATCATAATAGAAGCTCTATACGATGCTTGCGTACAGACAGTAGAAATAAGGACACTGGCTCGACTGTTAGAGGGTCACAGGTCGGCTGACACACCCATATTTAAGGCCATTCGCGATGTTCAAATATTAGGTAACTACAAACACTCCTCCTTCCTGTAATTTTAAAGATTGATTGGTTCTGAAATCAATTTAACATTTCTGTTCCAATTGTCAGAAATGCTAGATCTATCATACAGAGGTGTGTCTTATTTGTTTTAATTTTGATTTATTTGTTTTGTTTTGTTTAAGATGGAGACGAGATCGACGAATTGTACGATCTGGCCGAAGAATTGAACCTGGGACATGGGCCCATTGTGGATATGCTAATGGACCACTTATTCAAAACCCACCCATTCTTGATGACAAACAAGGCCAAGATTCGAAGTGGAAAATTCGGTAAAAATAGAAATAATTTACTTATTGTATTTTTGTCATTATGTTATTTTCAAAGAATGTATACCTTCGTAAATTAATGCTGATACGACAAAACTTCAAGTATTAGTAATATATTTAATTTAATTTAATTTAATTGCACCGATAATGTATTTGGTGAAGTTTGTCAAAAGTCACTGCTATTGACAAATATAATACATATTACCTGATACGTCTTTTTCAGACCTCGACCTCGTATTGAGGTACATGAACAACTGCGCCGACTTATACAGCGTTGTGGACCAACAGTACAAATCTTGGTGCTTGTTCAACGAGTACAACGTGGACTCACTGGAGCATTATGAATCTCTTGGACAGCGGTATTATGAAGTGCAAACCTTGTTCACCTCTTTTCTCTGGGATTTGCATTATCGCCAGAGTCCTTACGGTGCTCTGTGGGACCCCAGGACAGCCAAGGAGGAAGTGGTGTGTTGGATGAATCAGTTGTGGACGTACGGCGCGGACATTTTGATCCGCCAGATGGCAGTCAAGAGGATGGTTCAGAGAAATGCTTGGTTTCATTTGATGCCCGAGATTGAGGGGTCGCATTGGTACAGGTGAGTTTTTTTTCTTTGAGATTGTGATACACAAAATGTAATTTTTTTTCAAATTTTCTCGAGGCTAATATAAAGTCACTTCGGGTAATACTGTCAGAAATTTGGGGAATATGTTACCAGTCTGTACTACAGTGCTATAGGGAGGGTTTTGGCTGAGGGTCTGGCTATTTCATCCAAAGGCAAAAGAAATTTATTTACTGAATACTTCTAGACAGTAGACGCGTTCACCAGTATATTCTCAGTCTCAGGGAACCAACACAGCGTTTATTCCAGGTGCTTGTCTGTTTCAGCCAATACTTGGAGGAAGGCGACATAAGTCCGATCGCTCTGTCCAAGCTACAGGAAGAGATATCCCGCAGAGAACAAATCTTCTGCGCCTTCAAAGAGATGAATGTTGATCAGAGAGTGCACCGGAATCAGACACGCCTGGTAAAACTACTGGTGCCCCAATCATGCTACAGGGATGTTTCATATTATGGTCAGTTATCTGCATGTCGAGCTCGATTCTTTTATTTCATTTACTAATTCATGAATTTCTCAAGGATTGACAGATGATAAATGTAATGAATGGTCTGTGTCTGTGTATTCTTTTTATCGACATTTTAAAATTAAAAAAAAAATCAATTTTCGTTTACATTTTTGATTTTTTCTGGAGTCCTTTTTTAAATATATTTTTTCGCTGCATTTTTCAATATTGACAATGCAATATCATTCAAATTTCAGACGGACCTATTCCGTACGGACCTTGCACCCGAGCCCTGCATTATCGCAGACTGCACAAACTTGTGAATATCTACATCGACACAGGAAAAGAGGAAACATTGGGAGAAATTAGGGACTTCGTCATGTTCAAATTGAGAAGTTTCTTCATAGAGGAGGAACATCTTCGAGTCCCTAGTCGCAGTCGGCCGCGCGGACGTAGATATAGGAGGAGGAGGAATGTTGCCTTGGGGGGATCTCGGTGTGCGTACGACTTCGCAACGGAGGGCCACGCCAAAACGACTGCGTGTACTACAAGCGGAAACAGCAGCGCATCTGTCGCTAGAGACTTTGTTGATCTTGAATGCGTTGGCAGGAATACTATGCAGGGTTTTGATGATGGTTTTGCCGTTGAATTTCACAACTCTCGTAGTACATGAACTGGAGTATACATTGCGTCTATCACCGAGAGTTTGCCGGCTTGTAATTTGTATATTTTAATTTAATTTAATTATTTTTTTCAATGTTTTAAAGAACCCTCATGATCGTTGTTTTCATCTTCCTGGGTTCTTCGACTTAAGAACTTTGAAAGTATGGATTTTCTAGGCGCTCGCCGTGTAAAAGATCATTTAAATATTAACAGTTACATGTTAAGTGTTGAGTATACCATGCTGGCAGTATAAAATAGCAGAGTGATGATACACATATTATATTAATGGTTATACGAAATTGTACTCCAAAATGCGTATTAGGATCATGCACTGCTTTAATTTTGTTTTAGAAAGTTTGCGCATAAGAAAAGGTGGATTTTACACACTTATGGACGGTG